CCCTCCCTCCCTCGTTCGTCCTCCAGCCCTGCTGGACGGTCGGACCTCTCTTGGCCCATGCACCCCCCCCATGTCTCCCCCCCTGTCCTCGTGAGATTGCCGTGTGCATCCTCTGGCGCGCTAACGATCGTTTCCCGTGCCGCCGCCCCCGTGTAATGGTAACGATCTTACGTGGTGGGGGGCCTGGCCCACCCACACCCCCACAGGCGGGTGCTCGCGCTCTTATTGTGGCGATCGCCACCGAACCACCCCGAACCAACCCGAAGGCCTCCACCGGCCCTCCACTTCCAGTGGGGGGGGTCGGGGGCAACAACTAAAAAAAACACCTGGAACCCGTACCTCCCCGCCCTTACCAGGTCAGAGCCCCGAATCATCAGGGGTAACTCGGGTCAGGGATAACTCGGGTTCGTTTTTCGGGAATCCAAACCCGAGTTACCCCGGATAACTCGGGCGTCCAGAGCCCCGAATCATCAGGGGTAACTCGGGCGCCCAACCAGGCATGCGGATCTTCGGGTCAGGCTGGGGTTGTCTGGTAGGTGGTCAGATCGCAGCGCTCTCCCGCCCGTGTCCCTCCCTGCCCAGGCGTTGCTGTTACCCCGGGCCCCAGCCTCCCCCCGCCAGCCCATCTGTGACCACCCTTGCCGGGCGCAGTAGAATTCTAGAGCGTGTCGCCCACAAGGCCCCCAAGGTGAAGACGGAGAATTGCGCGCGTCAGTCTGCCAAGGGCTGGCGAAGCGCATGCGTGTGGTTCGAGCATACATAGATGTGTGTATGTACGTATGTGCGTACGTATGCATGCATGCATGCATGCATGCATGGATGGATGGATGTATGTATGTATGTATGTATGTATGTACGTATGTATACAGCTACGTAATCATTCATATATTTATACAAGATATATACACGCGTATCGACGTCAACACTTGCATGCACGTCGGTAGTGCCATGCATTCTGTACATACGCCATATGCTGATGCCACTACCGAGATGCTCATATACCTCTATGTGTTGTGTACTGGCATCACGGTCTATCGATCTCACGACCCAGCAGTCCACCATCGGGACAGCCATCAGGAGCGGGTGGTTCGCGGGCCGGATCGCGAGTGGGACGCCGAACAAAAACAATTGCAAGCAACAATGATCCGCACTTCGGAACCCCATTTCAGCCACGCACCCAGAGTGTCTGAATGACCGTTCGGCCCCCTCACTGATATAGATGATGAGTAAGGCCATGAGTCTTGGTTTGACGACACTGCTCATGATGAGAAAGGCTGAGAATGAGGAAGACGCTAGGAATGAGGATGACCATGAGGATGAATGTGACAATGGCATGCTCTGGTGCATGGTAGATCTGGCCCAGCTCTTAGGGTGGCCCCCCAGACTGCGCCAGAACTTGAGCGCGATGATTCTAGTAACTATATATACATGTATATCGATATGGGTGTCGAAGTGTAGTTTTAGCTTCCGCGCTGTAATTTTGTACGTTGACCTCGCGATTTTCATCACATCAGCATCAAGACCGACCGATATCAGCAAACACCCAGCGCTAACCTCACAACTGTGTCGTCTCAGCGTCGACACTCAAACGTTGGGCGATCTGCTTGCCCAGCGGCCTCACTGCCCACTGTTCGATGCCACTGTCAGCAAACGTATCTACCAGTTGGGCAGCCATCGAGCCAACCGTCCCGACAAGATCCCGACAGCCCTCGCGACAGCCGCGCCGCGCCGTGCCGCCCAGCCCCAGGCTCCGGACCCGGCCGGCCCAGCGTCGCCACGGAGCCACCGGTGGCGAGGGCGCCGCTGCGCTTCTGCGACCCCGCGAGGCGCGCCTCGGGGTCGGGGGGGGGGCACGGCGGCTGGCGGCGGTCGGCGGCGGCGACCAGTCGTCGCGATGACGGGGAGGGGGTCAAAGAAAGAACATGTATCCTTTCCGGCGAGGGTATCCATACACCACCACCGTGCCGGGCCAAGGCCATCCTGGGCCCTGGGATGGTGTGCAGACCCTCCTGGCCTCGGCCAGGAGTGCGTATACACCGTGCCGGGGCCAGGATGGCTTTGGCTTGGCACGGTGGTGGTGTATGGATGTTGTCTGCGTATCCATGCCGGTGCCCGTCCCTCGTCGCGGAGGCGAGCCCAGGTGGGGATTGAGAGGGGGCGGGGCTTCGCAGAGAAGCCTTCTGGCCCTGCTGAGAAGCGAGGCAGCCCCTGTCTTCGGAGAAGGCTCAGAGTGCTTCTCAGAGGAGGGTTTCTCCGAAGGGCTGAGACCCGTCCTCTTCCTCCTCCTCCTCCTCCTCCTCCTCCTCCTCCATCTCCTCCTCCTCCTCCTCCCTCCTCCTCCTCCACGTCCTCCTCCTCGGGTCGCCTACGGCCCCGGGGGAAACCGTGCATTCCCCCCTCCCACGCAGGGACCGACCGTCCCAGCATTCCCTGTATCAGGAGGGAAAGAAACACACAGACACAATTAATCGTCGATGCCCCAGAAAATATGGGAAAATATGGGAAGTGGGGGGGAAGACAGAAACCCAGAAAATATGGGAAAATATGGGGAATATTTTTATATGTGTGTATTTATTTGTGTGTCCTGGGGCCCCTTCACTGTAGGCTGACCTCAAAAGTTCTTCTAACAAAGAATGTCGTCAGTACAGAAGCACAGTTCAGAGCCCCGAATCATCAGGGGTAACTCGGGTCAGGGATAACTCGGGGTCCTTTTTCGGGAATCCAAGCCCGAGTTACCCCGGACCCGAGTTACCCCGGATGACTCGGGCGTCCAGAGCCCCAGAATCATCAGGGGTAACTCGGGTCAGGGATAACTCGGGTTCCTTTTTCGGGAATCCAAGCCCGAGGTACACCGGACCCGAGTTACCCCGGATAACTCGGGCGCCCAAACAGTAGTAGAACATGTAAGCCCGACGTGTGAACACAAGACGGCCTCAGCCAGACATGCTCCGAGAACATCACGTGCAAACCACAAACAGGTCTGGGGAGGAGGGACGGTGGCTCGGCCTGCAGTCGGCGGCCACCACCAGTCGCCGTTGGATTGGAGGGTGAGAGAGGGGGTCTGCAACAGGGGGTCTTCAATGGTGGCTGAATGACCCATCTATGCGCAATGTATCGCTCATGTATGTGATCGGTTACGATTGGCATCCAAAGTTGGCGGTCATGAAGGGCCATTCCGCGTGGGGCGGCGAAGTGGAGTGCAAGTGTGTCTTGATTGTGCGACTGATGGTCGCTTATGTTCCCAAACGATGATTTGTCAACCCCAAAGACATATGTGGAATGGGCCGCGCAAGTCTCCCAAAACGTGAATTCACATTTTCCTTTTCTCCAATAATGAATTCACATTTCCTTTTTTCCCATAGTGTGAATTTACCTTCTGGCCCCTTTCATAAAGATTCGTACACCAAGTTCCCAAGCTTGTGAATTCATATGTTGTTTTCCCCAGCAATGTGAATTTACATTTTACCCTGGCTTTCAAGATCCCCAAAACTGGGGCGCTGCGTTTCGCATGTCAGATTGGCTGCGCAGGTTTTGACACTGACCTCACCGCTTTCGTTTATTCAACCCTTTTTTCCGACCTCAGCGCACGCTGCCTTCCTCGCGTTTCCCGAGCCCCCCCGCCCCCCTTGCTTCGTTTACCGTAAAGTTTCGCGCGTGGGTGCAGGCGGGGAGGTTCAACTGGTTCCCCCGCCGAACACAGCAATCGAGGATGCATCGCCCATGCAAGGCCCATAAAGACACCATGGCCGGGACCCAGCGCCCGACCCCATTTTCACCCTTCAGTTGATGCCGCACTGCAGCTTCGGTGGGGGGGGCCTCTGTCGCGTAAGTGTCGGTTTCGTTTCTGGTATCTGACTAAACCGTTCTGGGCTCAGGAGGATCTGGGGTTTGCGGGCCGTTTTTTTGCTTCGATGCATGTCGTGGAATTCGTCTGTGGCCCACGCCCGCCGTGGCCTGAAAAGCCCCTTCGTGCTCAGTCGCAGTCGTAGCAGCAGTAGTAGTAGTCGTAGTCGTAGTCGTAGTCGTAGCCGTAGTCGTGGTAGTAGTAGTAGTAGTAGTAGTAGTAGTAGTAGTAGTAGTAGTCGGTAGTGGTAGTAGTAGTAGTAGTAGTAGTAGTAGTAGTAGTAGTAGTAGTAGTAGTAGTAGTAGTAGTAGTAGTAGTAGTAGTAGTAGTAGTAGTAGTATTAGTAGTCGTAGGCGTAGTCGTAGTCGTAGTCGTAGTCGTAGTCGTAGTCGTAGTAGTCGTAGTAGTCGTCGTAGTCGTCGTAGTCGTAGTAGTCGTAGTAGCATTAACAGTGGCAGTCGTAGTTGTCGTAGTCGTTGTAGTCGTAGTAGTCGTAGTCGTAGTAGTTGTTGTCGTTGTCGTAGTAGCATTTCTTGTAGTCGTAGTAGTTGTCGTAGTCGTATTTCTCGTAGCAGTAGCAATCGCAGTAGTAGCAGTAGCTGTAGTAGTCGTAGTCGCAGTAGTAGTAGTAGTAGTAGTAGTAGTAGTAGTAGTCGTAGTAGTAGTAGTAGTAGTAGTAGTAGTAGTAGTAGTAGTGGTAGTGGTAGTAGTAGTAGTAGTAGTAGTAGTAGTAGTAGTAGTAGAAGTAGTAGTAGTAGTAGTAGTAGTAGTAGTAGTAGGAGTAGTAGTGTTTGTAGTCGTAGCCGTAGTAATAGTTTGTAATATACGTAGTAGTAGCAGCAGTCGTACTCGTAGTCAACCTAGTAGTAGTAGTGGTAGCAGTGGCAGTAGTAGTAGTAGTAGTGGTAGTAGCAGTAGCACTATTAGCCGTAGTAGTAGTAGTAGTAGCAGCAGTAGTAGTAGTAGTAGTAGTAGTAGTAGTAGTGGTAGTAGTAGTAGTAGTTGGGTTAGTATGAGTAGCAATTGTAGCTGAAGTTGTAGATATACAACAGACGTAGGAGTAGTATCACTAGTAGTAGTAGTAGTAATAGTAGTAGTAGTAGTCGTCGTAGTAGTAGTAGTAGGAGTAGACGTAGTAGTAGTAGTAGTAGTAGTA